GCTTCCTTCAGACATCCTGGCCGCGTTGTCGAAGCTGCCGTATTCTGGTTGTCCCCAGAAATCTTGTATTAAATTCTTCCATGCCATAACGAGGATGCGGCGGATACCAGGGGTCGAGCGAATGATGTCTTTTGTAGGCTCATCATAGGCCAGACTCGCGATTATTGTCGCGTGCGCGTGATGGACGAGATGAGCTGGCAATGCGGTTGGGTCTCCGGATGAGGGCAAGCTATGGCAGTATGTCTGCAGAAATTCAATCCACGCCCAGACGCGAACCCAAATTTCGGGACATGCGGGTGCTGGGACGACATCCACGATATGCAAAACCAGCCTGCGAGCAATGGCGGCACCGTGGGTTCGCGTAGCGGAGCTAGTGGTGAGATTATCAAGTTCGCCGGGGTCGGGGATTCTAGAAGCGTCCAGATTTGCAAAAATAGCTGGGAGAATGAGAACGGCATGAGTTCTAAGCAGGCTTTCGACGAGAGAACGAAGACGGAGCAGGTCCTGGGTGGCCGGGCCCTTCTGCTGCCGCTTCCGCGATTGGCTGAGGAGCTGCTTCCGGCGTTAGCTCTCAAGGATTGGTTGTGTGCACCGAACACGACAGACGCTTTCTACTTCTCTGTGTTCTTCTTGACCATCCCGTGCTCAGGCGAGCAAGCTCAGTCCGCCCAGGCCATAGCGGGGTTTTGATACATCATCTTATTCTCGGGAGAGATTGGCATTCATACATGAATTGCTCTCCCGGTAGATGCTACGCGAAGCATCATTTGGTGACACACACCCTTACGTGCCTTATCCGGTGCGTCTGCGCGCTCGTCGTCTGTCGCTTCCAACGATGCGTGGCTGTGCGGTCCCGCCCGAGTCCCGCGCCCCCGCAACGCCCCCGTCCCACCCAAAATGGAAATTACCTTAATTCACCTTCAGCAAATTTTGCGCATGAGGTTTGGTTGATACTGTAGTACCTGAATATTTGTGGGGCATCCAAGCGGCAAGGGACAACACCAGAACGGTCGCAAAAGTTGGCAAATGCCGGGATGCCGTTGCTTGCTCGGGCTTGTCCTTGTTATCCATCAATGCTCTTTGCTCTTGTCCTCCTCCGACCGCTGCACCATTGCGGCCCTTCCGCTCATCCCCTTGGCTGGTCGCGCTACGAAGCAATCCAACACTATTTTAATCTCCTCGTAGCGCCTGGACGTCTCTTCCCGTCTCCTTTCTGGCCTTTAATATGGTGCCCTCCTGCTGCTTACCGGTCCCATTTACCGGCTCCCTGCTCTGCTGGGGCATGTCCGCTCCCCTTGTCATTAGTGCGCCGCTCTACTGCCCTCATTTTGGGCTAATCTCACCGCCTCGTGTCCCGACCGGTCTCGCCGCGTCACCACCCTGCGCGCCGCGCCATTCGCTGCTTGCGCCGTCCTTCGAGGTTTATAGCAAGATATTATCACCCACGCTCTTAGCGCGCCGCTTCTGAGCGACAACAAGGGGCTACGGCGCGCTAGCATTGGCTTCAGCAAGGTTTCAGGACAGTGCGGATCGGTCACTACGCTGCTTTTGCTAGGTCTTCATTATGCTCACCACTCCCGTCTTTCATCACGTAATCCCGCCCCCTGCAGCCCATGACTGCAGCGCCCTTCGGCCCCAGCTCTCGGACCGCGGCGCCGCGCTCTGACAATCCTGCCTCGCCCCTGCACCAGGCTCGTCGTAACCCGCCCAAGTTCAGGGCTGCACGCTACCGTGTGATGTGCTATCAACGTGTATGCTGTCACGTCGCACTTCGCGTGCTCTTCGATCCCGCCGCTCAATTTGCTTACTCTGGCTGTGCCCACACCATCCCGCCGCTTCCTGTTCTCGCCGTTTCCGCCCCGGCGACGGGGCGACGCACATACACAATTCAACGCCAATAGCGGAAGATCTCCGGCCTTGCGCTAAAGGACAGATCTTATTTCTTCCCCTCTTGGGACCCCGTTTCTTTCCCTCCGTGTCGATGATAGGCCTCAGGTTGTCACGTACATTCTGTAACTCGTTGTGGAACTTCAATACACACTTATAAACTGTACACGCGGGTCAAATCGGCGGAAGTGCCAAAAATGAATGAAAGATCAATTGAATGTTTTCTTCTCGCCGCAAGGTCAAGCACAGAGTACTGTTCTCAATTGCATCGGTTCATGTACATATGTGTTTCACTGCGCGTTCGCATTGTGGCTTAGAAGTTTTGAGTTGCTCACTTTCTCGCGAGACTCGGTCGTATATCAGTTGGTAGTGTGGATTACCTATCTGGGTACTGTTTGATCACATTTGATTTCGCTCCATATTTTATCTCTCTACCAAATGAGCTCCGTTTGACTCAATTTTGAAACATGTTGTACGTGAGATGTGTATGTGTGTACAGCGACTTTTTTCAGATTTCCTTTGATCTCTCCCGTGCTTATTTACAGCATATACTCGTTTTGCGGCTGTTAAATACAAAATCCTCTATCTGCATGTTAAAAATCATATCTGAGGAGACAGAAATGTTCGGAGTGCTCCCTGATGTTTAGAAATCACCGGACTTTCGTGGACGGCCCCCTAGATCCCAAGGAATAACACTGTTTTTGTGTGCTCATACAAAGCTCAGAAATTTATCTCGACCTCTCATTCAGACATATAAGTGGCTGTTTGAAACACAACTGCCGGCTCAGAATTCGGATCTGCGTCGCTTAGCGTGCAAACGAAACCAATTCATGCTCTTTCAACACGGATCAAACTATCTCGTGCTGCTGCCAAAACGGTTCCCAGGAGATCGAGCAGTGAGCGAGGGTTTCATTTCAATGGGTCTGCACTGCATCCCGTTTCTCTGCCCTTTCTGTGTCCCCGGCTCGGTTTCTACTGAACACAGACTTCACGGCGTCGACGGCCTTCATTGCGTCGGAGGGTCCCCCGAGAATCCTCGAGCTCGGCTGTAGGCAACATTGGAATACATTCCTTGGACATTTGGCCTCTTTCAAAGTCGTCCAAACGCGTCCCCTCAATACACAGCAAGAAAAAGGTGGGTGCTCATCGGCATCCAATCATATCGCAGCCGACTCCGGCCTGATTAGCCATCAACCTGTCATTGTGCCACGTTTCCGACTCCCACGTCGCTCCCGTGCTTTCTGCCTTCACCAGGACTTTCACCATCTTGCTCTTTTGCCTTGAGCTCCGTTGAGGTCGTCTTTGTTAGTTTTCCCTCCAACCCGGGCTAGACAGCCGTTCTGGCTGCTTTCTCCGCCATCCCTCCGGCCCTGATGTCGCGCCATCGGCGAAGGAATCGAAAAACGGGCATATGCGTGGGGGGCAGTACTGTGGGGAACCGAGTTGTGAAGGCTCGTACATGTGCTGTCCACCCCTCCTTTTTTTTCCCGATCATGGCGCAGCCGCGTCGCGCATCCCAGCATCACAATACCCACCCTTGGTCCCGGCGGAGTGTCGGATGGCACGGCAGGCCCGTGATACGGCCCAAGTACGTACGGCGCGAGTCAGTCCGGCGCTGGGTACACCAGCGGCGCACGCAGCGGACCCCGCCGGTGGCAGCGGCGGGCGGAACAGGAGAAATTTGGATATCTGCGGGGTCTGGCAACAGAAAGGGGGGTTACTTGGTAGCTACTTGTGGCGTCTACTCCCTGTCCATTCTTAAAAATTGGTCTCCAACTGCGCCCAGCGTTGCCGACAAGCGGCTTGCAAGCGGCATCGTGATAATGAACTGATAATAATAATCACAACGGGTTCTTCAAGTTGAGCACTTGTCGAGCACACATTCCATGGATCTGTCATACATCTACACCTACCCCTTTTCCTAGCCGGATCGCGCCAGAATTGCGCCCACCGTCGCGCGGTGGATTTACGCCTCCAATCGCCTCATTTGGAACATTATGTCAGCCCGCCGCAGCCCGTGGGAAGAGGTGACGTACAGGCTTGGGCACCGTCTACGACGGTCGTCAACGGCGAGAAGAAACATTGCTTGACGTGTGAGACCGGCTAACGGAACGGGCTGGGTCTCTCGCATGATACATCACGCCGCATCTACCAGGTGAGCAATTCATGTATGAACACCAATCTCTCCGGAGAGAGCGTGATGTATCACTCCCCCAGTATGCGGTGGTCCGCCTAGATCCGGTTGGGACTTTAATAAGAATAGACCTCCATCAGTACCGGGCGTCGGTACTTCTGCGGCTAAATTCCTTGAATCGCTTTCTGCAAGATAGTATCCCAAGCACCGAGTTGAGCGGATACGCCAAAAAAAAAAAAGTCAAGCTAGTGTTGTTAGGTGTCGGTGGGGAGTTGAACCCAGTTCAACCTTTTAGCTGCTCACAGCGCTACCTCTCATGGATTGGTTGTGTGCATCGTGCACGACCGACGCCTTAAGCCTACATTTCAGACCTGCTTCAAGCTTGAGACCTGCGTGGGCTCTCGCAAAACCGCTACAGTAAAATGAGAAATTACTCGAAATTTCGCTTGATTTGTTTGACCTAAACATAACGAGCATAATTCTAGGAAATTAGCCGAGATTTCACTGAAGTGTGAGTAAATTGGCGGGGTAGGCTTTTTCTGATGTTTGGCGCCGTGATTTAGTTGTTTCCCAGCAAGTGGCCGGGATACACATTTCCCCCATCCGCAAGGATGGAGGTTTCTTTTACAGGCAATGTAAGATACGTGCCAAAAAAGGCCCGATGCGCCGGCGGGAGTCGAACCCCGGTTCTACCACCAATATCGTTACACACAGAATAATACTTTATATGGCTGGTGTGTGCACCGTGCACTTCCGACGCTGTTTGACTTGTATTGCCCATTTACCTTGGTGGGTTCGCTCAATACATGTGGGTTCGGTCAATACCGCCACAGTAAAATGATAACTCACAGATTGTACTCTGGATGTGTTTGCTTGCCAAAGTCTAGCCTCACCGAATATCCAGGGACACAAATTCGGCAGCGCTTGCAAGACTCGGTGTGGAACTCAGGTGAAAAAAAAGGGGACATCTGGCTATGTATGCGTCGGCGGGGAGTCGAACCCCGGATTTACCATCGATATTTTTACGGTCGGGATTATGCTCAATATGATTGGTGTGTGCGCCGTGCACGACCAACGCTGCCAGCGTAGGTATTTACCCTGGGCTGCGTTCAAGGTTTAAGCTGGCACGCTGAGAACGGAGGAAGAAAAGTGCGACAGCGGGTATTGATTACTGTTGGTGGCGCCGATCCCGGGTGATTCGCGCCCGGAAGTGCCTGGGTTAGGCGCGGAATGTAACACAAGAGCGCGCGGAACGTTTTGAACAGATACGCTAGACATTGGCTAGACAAGAAAAAGATGCCAACGATCAAACCGGCGGGGCCGACGTCGGGATGAGAACAGATAGGGGTGGTTGCGCGAATGGTTGCGTGGTGATTTATTTTCATGCCAAATATGGGGGTGAATAATTCCGTACTGAGTTTCCCAGTGGCAGCATGCCCCGCGGCCAGAACCCATCCAGCGCTGAGCGCGCCGCGGCGCCCGCCGCCCGCCGCCAACATGTTACACTGATGGCATGATACGCGTCCCGACGTTACGCCACAATCACGGCCGGGCCGAAAAGGGCTAATGCGCTTACGTGTGTGATGCGATTGATGGGCACGTGCCGTTCCCACTTGTCTTCCCGCCTCGACGTTCCCTGCGGCGTGCGCTCTCTCTGGCTACGGTCTGGCTCTGGCTCTGGGTTAGGTGGTCTGTACGGAACCTGTGCTTCAATCTCGTCTCGTCTCCGCACACGCTCGCCTTTTTCGCCGACTTTCACGAATCACGACTTGACTCACGAAACGACCACGACGCATGGGCCAGCCATCCTCGAAACCCTCCCGCTCTTCGCAATCGAACGGTGCCTCTGCGTCGCGCACCAACCTCTCGCAGACCTCCCCCTCCTCCGCACGCGCCCGTTCCGACGCTATCGACCGCCAGATTACACTCGACTCGAAGCGGTACAAGAAGGAGTGCAAGATCCTGCTTTTGGGCTCGGGGGAGAGCGGGAAGAGCACGATCGTGAAGCAGATGAAGATCATCCATCAGGGCGGGTTCGATGAGCGGTGCGTTGCTTTGAATAATAGGAAATGAAGAAGAGAAGCTGACGCGGGCTTATTACTAATTAATGTAGGGAGAGGGCGGAGTATCGCACGGTTATATACCGCAATGTGTTGGATTGCGCGGGGACGCTGGCGAGGGTTGTGAGGCGCGTAGGGGTGGCGGGGTTTGACGACGACTTCCCTCTGCCCCACGCCGATGGCTACGATGGTGACGAGGGCGGGGAAGCACACGGCCACGAGAGACGAGAAGGAGGAGGCGCGCCGGGAAAGATGCGCGCCTACGCCGAGAACGTCGTGCGCGCCTTCCCTCCCGTCCGCGGCGCACGGGACGACCTCGCCCTCGGCTCCGGTATCGACAACGACCTCGACTCCGAGTTCGGCCACTCCGACATCCACTCGGACAGCATGGACGGCGACACAGACGTCGAAATCGGGCTCGACCCCGTCCCCTTCACGCGCGCCGACGAGCGGCAGTACGACTACGCGCGCAGTGGGCTCGGCACCCCGCTGTCCCCGTACTCGCAAGCGCGCCCGACGACGGCGGATCGGTCGACGACGCCTGCGGCGGATGTGCTGGCGCAGACGCACGCGACGCTGACGCCGGCGCTGGCGGATGCGCTGTGGCATGTGGCGCGCGCGCCGGCGGTGCAGCGCATGGTGGATGAGAACCCGGCGGATTTTTATTTGATGGATAGTGCGGGGTAGTGAGTTTTTCCCCCTTTTTCCTTTCGGTTTTCTTTTCGGGGGGCTTTGGGCGGGACGGAGAGCGCTGTGCGGGGGGTGGTGCAGGAGGGGCTACAGGGGTGGTTTTGGTGTGCTTTTATTCGTCCTATCGACTTCTACTCGGTCGCTGGGCGTGGGCTTCCATTCCGCCTTTCACCCTTCTCTCCTTCGCTGCGTTATCGTTTTTCGTTCCCGCCGAGCTACCGTCGTTTCCGTTCTGCCGTCGTCCTTATCTGTTTTTCCCCTCGTATTTTACCTTCTACTTGCCGCGACCTGCAGTAGCTCGCCATTCTCCCTACTTATATCCCGACACGTCCGGTTTTCCCTCACTTCGTCCCTCCCCATCTTCGACCGCTCACCGCTCTCGCCCCTCTTCTTACGTTCCCTCTATGCTCTATGTCCCCCGCGCTCATACATGTTCCATCCACGTCCACCTTCATCTTCATCCCTTCCCCTTCACGATTCCCCGCAACTCCCCTTCCGTTTCTCAATCCTACCGTCACGGATCCCGTCTACTTTTCATGCTGCGTTACATCCTCCCACGCTGCGTTACATCCACCCCGCTCCTTCCCTTCACCGCGTATCCTCGTTTCTGCCTTACGGCGTTCCCGTGTTTATCTTCCGCTGTTCTAACTACTCGCATCTCCCCCCCCCCCCCCCTTTTTTTTTTCGCCCGCTCTTCGTAGCGCGCTCTCGTTTGACTTACCGCGCCCACTTCGATCTTTTCTTTATGTTTTCGTCCGTCCTCCCTTTCATTCTCTTCTTTACAATTTTTGGCGAACTCGCTAACCCTCCCTCTTTATAGCTTCTTCTCCCAAATCCACCGCATCGCCACGCCGACGTACGTCCCCTCCGAGGAGGACGTGCTGCGCGCGCGCGCGAAGAGCACGGCGATTGTGGAGACGCGGTTTTGGATGGGGGATTTGAGGTGCGTTTTTTGCGGCTTGTTTTGTTTTCTCCTTCCCCGTTTTGTTGTGGAGGCATCGATGGCGTTAGAGGCGTGCGTCATGGCGTGGGTTGTCCAGCGGGACTTGGCCGACGCAACATGCAGTGGGAGGAGTTGTGGCTCGCGGGTCCACCCGCGCGTTGGGTTGTCATGCCGCCGCTAAATTATGGATCGAGTGCGCGCAGTCGGTACCTTCAGACGGGGCTGCGCTCCTCCTCCTCCCTCTTCCACTTTAGTCTATTCGCTTCTCGGTTCTCATAGCCTTGACCTTGCTAATCCTCTTCCCCCGATTTACAGGATACACATGTTTGACGTCGGCGGGCAGCGCTCGGAGAGGAAGAAGTGGATACATTGTTTTGAGAGGTGTGTTCCCTTTTCTTGTTTCCTGCTTTCGTCGGTTTCTTTCGGAGTGCCCTGGTGGGCGATCGACCGCGGGACGCTCGATTTGGATGTTCGGGAGCGGCCGGCGGTCCGGGCGCATCCACTCAACAAGAAATATTTCAAATCGCTCACGGACAATTTTCATAGCGTGACGAGCATCATCTTCTGCACGGCGCTGAGCGAGTACGATCAGGTGCTGGAGGAGGAGCGCAGGGTGGTGAGTTAATTCCTGTTCCATCCTTTGAGTGATCATCCAAACCAACTAACCAACTCGTTCGCAGAACCGCATGCGCGAATCGCTTTACCTTTTCGAATCCGTGATCAACTCGCGCTGGTTCCTACGGACGAGCGTGATTCTGTTCCTGAACAAGATCGATGTGTTTAAACGGAAACTGCCGAAGGTGAGCACTGGGTTTCGTTTCGTTTGGTCGCGCGTAGCGGCCTACTCCTCGGCGGTCGGCGGTTTGCGTACCGCTGCCTCCCCCTCCTCTTCTCAAGCTCGTTAATCGAATCTGACTCCCTCCAGATCCCCTTGGGCCGCTACTTCCCCGAGTACGCGGGCGGGAACGATCTGCAGAAGGCGGCGAAGTATATTCTGTGGAAGTTTATGCAGGAGAATCGGGCGAAGTTGACGGTGTATCCGCAGTGAGTGGTTTATTGATTTCTTCTTCTTCTTCTCTTTTTTGCGTCGTGGTGTGTATCGGGCGGGCGGAGCAAAAAGCTCCTTCCCTTTGTTTCATTGCTCCTTCCTTTCTCATTTCCACGCTACGAACGCTCGCTGAACTCTCCCTCTCTCAACCCAGCGTCACCCAAGCCACAAACACGAAGAACATACGCCTCGTCTTCGCCGCCGTCAAGGAGACGATCTTGCAGAACGCGCTCAAGGACTCCGGCATCCTGTAACCCCTCTTCGCCTCTCACCTTCTCTTTCCTCGACGGATAACATATAATCAGCGCGAGCGCGCGCGCGATGCTGCGTGATAGGCACCGCAGTGCCAATGGATACCCCCGCATACCCATATATGGTGGACGTGGACGTGGATACCCAAGCGCCACCGGCGGACGCGGTGAACACGGTAGATCGTGGACGACAGACTGATGGACGGACGGACGGACGGACGGACGGAACCGGATACCCTTGCGCACGGTGGAGGGCGATATCCTGCTGCCAGCCGCGCTGCGCGGCGCCATGCCAGATGCGTCAGCGCCTTCTGGAACGAGACGACCGCACGGATGACCGGCGCTGGCGCGGCGCTTCCCGGCGGGGTGCTCTTTGTTCCAAACATGCTTTTTATTCGCCATAGGGAAGTACTCAGACGTGGTGTACAGCGGACCTTCGTAATGGGATGTCGGTGTGCAACTCGCAGTCCAGGCGCCATCGTCCGAGGTATGATTGCGTGCCCTCTTTGCTCGAGATACAATTCGGCCTTGCCTCGGCCATAGGCAGCCTTTGCCGTCTTTGATGCTCCAGAAGAGAGTAGACTTACTCGGGCGTGGTGGGCGGCACACAGCGGGTGCCAATAAGTAGGTGCTCTCTGCAAGGACTTCTATTTCAGCTCGCAAGGCGGGGTTCGACTCCCCGCGTCCGAGTAGGTGCGTCGGCTAATCCTTTTTCACGGAAGCCGTCAAAACAAGACCCACAACAAAGCTCCCGGAGCTCATGTACACACTGCTTTGCTTCTCATTCTTCGAGTTTCAATCCCACAGAGGAAACACTGTGAGTATCGGTATCCGAAGACTTTTCCATTCGACTGCCAAAATCCAACCGTACCCCAAATTTTACTGCAGCGCCGATGGGGCAGGGCTTTGATCTCACCGAAGTTATCACACTGGCAGCGAGTTCCTTCTTGTTGAAAACGGTACCTTGGCTTCCAACCTTACATACAAACTCAGAGGGCATTTGTCCGGACGTAATGTATGGTATCCTTTGTACGACTGTGCGTGAAACCTATTTTTTCTTACCAGCCATAACGGCGGGCAGGCGAC